AGTTGATGTCGTTAACAAATTTGTAAGTGATTAATTTCCTTATGCTGTACATGTACCATCTCTTTGTGCTGATAACAGATTTAGGAAAGCTTATTGGTTTGCTTTAAATACAATTGAAGCCTACTGAAAAATGAATATAAAATATTTGATTAAATGAATTCATTGTTAATTATAGTTGAAGGGTTAATTATTAGGTGTTATGTACTTGAGTGTTATACCAGTAATTACTTGTCTAATGTTTCAAATTGTGTGTTAACTCAGCTGAATATTTAATTCTTTTTTTCCAAATAGATTATTTCCATAATGAAATATATCTATGTAAAACTATTCAAAGAACCTTTGAAATCGGGAAAAATCAATCACCATGGTGCTAGTTCAGTATTATTATTATTATTATTATCAGCTTTATTCAATATTATATTTTTGGTACAATATAGAATTCTCAGCGTAAAGTATTTCAACAAGTTTCCGTTTCTTTCTTCTTGGTCGGTCCTGGCGATAAATATTGAGTGATCACCAGTTAGATGTTAGCAGTTCAGTAAATGAACATCTGAATAATGTGCATTCTTTTCGTTGTATATTGCCAGCAACCACATTGTCTCTTATTGAGTTTTTTGTAACTTTGGCAACGAAAGGTTGTACACTTTTCAGAAACGCAGCAGAATAGGTTATGCGATTAATAGACATAACGATATATTAAAACAAACAAAAATAGATAACTTGTTGAAATATCTAGATGGCAGGAACAGGTAGCCCAAATGCTCAAACGAGACTGAAGAAACATTTAGTTAGTAGAATCTCATTATATATGATAAAGAATATTCAGTATAAAAGTTGCGCTTATCCTAATTAAAAAATTTTTTTTCGCTAACCAGATCTAATGGGTTTCTTAACTTATATGTATAAATATTATTATTTCTTGTCACGGAAACCACTGCAATTAATCAAGTTGGTTTGACCTATTGAATAACATACTCCTGTTTATCTATACATAAATCCAAACTTTGATTGTAGTAAAAAACACTAATCTATTTGACCTTTACATGATAAAGATGATTATATAATAATATTCAGGGGAATATTCTCTCTAATTTTGTCATTGCATGATTTCAAGAAGAAAGCCTATATGAAATAATATATTCTTATAAAACTGATAATTATGTAAGGAAATAATTTCCTGACTGTAACAAACAAATTTCTGATTTAACTGTGAGAATCATTCTGTGATACGAGCAAGCTGATTAGTATTGCATAGTTTGTTTCTACTTGTATTGTATCAAATGGTTGTGGGATTTAAATTGTGCAAACCAATTAAAGTCTGTTTACTTCACTAAATAAAGGTCACTCGTTTATACTATGAAGAATCTAGAAATGCTTTACTCGGACAGATAGATGCATTTTAAAATTAATTGGTTACATAATTTTTCATATCCTTCGTCTTCGTTTAACACAGCAAACCTGAGTAATATTAACTCATTTTACCAGTTAGAGGTAGCAACTGTTAATGGAGTATTCATTAAAAAATTTTTAACGAATGTGATTTTTAATGTACGGACATCTAAATAAGGTAGCAAATGCCTTGATCCAAAGTTACCCTTCCCTATTCAGCCTTTCGTCTATGTATTCATAAATAACAATCATCTGATTTACATGTTTCAAAAGGTTCTAGTATTATACTGACTATACTTTGATGACATATATCATGAATATCATAGATAGATTAGTATAGTACTTATTACGAAACATACGTTTTGTCTAACATGGAATCATTAATTGCTCACTTTCAAGACAAACTTTCAGCAGCCGCTCAAAACTACTTTATTTTTTGATTGACATTTTTTAGTAAAACCCATTTCATAATAGAAACAATCTTTAAAATTCTATATACATCTTGCCTCAATACAAACAATTAAGAAAATATTAATAACCCCTAATCTTTAAATTAATCTCAATACAAAATTCAATTTCAATAGTTGAGATCATGAGTCAATTGAAGCTAGACCATCACTCAAAACCTGGAAGCACTGGACGGCCATTTCATTCTGTGGTGGTATTCCTCAGCAATGTTCATCCGCAATCCTGCCTCGTGAGATTTGAACTCAGGACCTATTGGTCTCGTAAGCGAACGTACTGCTGAAGAGTCCCACAATAGGACGAAATGGTCGTCAAGTGCTTCTACGTTTTCCATATTGGTCTAAATTCCATTGATTCATGATCTCATCTATTGAAACCCCTTCTGATTAATATTACATGTTTTCTTTATTGTCTAAATAAGTTTTTGTTTTCAAACTTTTCAAATGTAAAAACTCATTTTATTAAATTCAAAGATCATGATTCTTGTTCTCATTTAATTTTTTTATATAAATCCATATATACATATAATTCTATCTTAAAGTATTAATTAAAATAAACCATATTTGTTGTTAAGATTAAAATCATTACATTTACATGGATGATTTGTAGTGAGTATTCCGTATTCTTCCACTAATTTTTTCCTTTAGTTTTATAATAGTGAATTCGATTTAGTTTTCAATTTGGTGATTTTTTCTTTCTGATATTCTCAACGTCAACAACAACAACAACATCATCATCATCATCAGTACGCTTAATAGAATTTCATTAAGAAGTTTTTTTTTTGTTTTTTCTTCATTCTCTCTCTCTCCCCCTTTGGAACAGTTCATTGAAGTACACTTGAAGTTTCAAATGATTGTTAACTTAGACATTAAAAAAATAAATAAATAAATTATAAAAGCACATAAGAGAAAAAGACAAAACAAGAAGAAAAAGAAAAAAAGGAAGAAGAAGAAGAGGAAGAAGACAAGACAGAGAAATAATTCAAAGTGCATCTTATTTCTTTTTAGAAAAAAAGTGGAGTAAACTGAACTTTGCGTAATGATCAAATAAAACGTTTATATTTAATTTCACCATAATCAAGTTAATGTATGTAGTGTAGATAAGTATTAACAGTAAGATAATGTGAATTATTCAAGTGGTCATTTATTCACGAAGCTGGTTTTTTAAGAAGACATAACAATTTAAACGATATAGTAACAAAATATTGTATAAAATGGAATTTAAGAAGGTAGGAAAAAGACCTTTTTTGCAGATATTTTCTTGTAATTTTTAATGTCTATGAAGAATAGAAAAAGAAAATCAGTTTTTAGCAAGTATAACATAATAGCAAAGATTAGTCTATAAAAAGTGGCGATAATAGACTAACATTAAGTTTAAATATATTTTTTTATAGGTATAATGTAACTTCAAGAACTCATGGACTATTGTAGCCATGCTAAATAGTTTTCAATTATCCTAAAAATGCTCCACAGTGCACTTCTGTTTGTACTCAAAGTTTACATTTTTGAAAGTAACCAGTTGTATGCAAAGGATAGGTTTCTTATGGCTAATGTACATCCTGATCAGTTTCCTTTCCTATTGTAAAGCAATCTTCATATTATAAATTTACACTCGATGAATCAGTCAGTAATTATTTTTATTCAGTAGGTCAGTGGATTTCGTGCTGGAGACTGGAATATGAACGCTGGAAATGGAACTATATACAGGTGATAAGTCTCAAATATAATAAACGCTATGCACTCTGTTACATAGTTTAGGGTGATCGTTCTCGTTACATATAGTACCACAGTCTTTCAAATATATCTCAAGATGACATAAACTAAAAAGCTATTTTAAATAAAAAACCAATAAAAAGTGACTTTCGGATTTTCCATTAGCTACCTTAACTTCAAAACAAAATATGTAAAATTCCTTGTAACTGGTTATATTTTTGTTAACTTAATTGAATATTTGCACTTTTTCTTCTTAATAATGATTTCTACTTCATTTTGTTTCAAGTTGCAACTAACCGATAAACTTTTACTTTGTTATTTCTACGGTTTCTATTACACCAATACCATAATGAAGTTAGTGTTACATATTATAAACACCTGAATTCATTTCAGAGGTTTTATTCAAGGCTTTCCCGATGTAAACTCAGTTTCATGGTAATATTTTTTAACTGAGAATAATTCTTGAAACCCTTAAATTATATAAGTATAAAATTTGAAATATAAAGGTAAATCCCCAAAGTCATTTCTGATTCGATTCTATCACTCCGAGGTCATCCTAAAAAGGTGTAAACAGAATGTTTAATCTTTTCTCATGGTTTAATATGAAAATAATCCTCTTTAGGATCTCCGACTGATGTTTAGTTACTTTGGTCTTGTAGACTGATAATCAGCAACCATTCATTTGTGGTATTTTTGCACCCATGATCCAAACACTGATTCACTATTCTTGTCATTTACCGTGTTGTTTTAGACATCTTTATGATCATGAATTCATAAACCATTTCTGATATTTCGTTTTCAAAGAAAGATATTTTAATATTGCTTGTATACACATCATCTTGGGTTGAGGAAGGTCGAAAGAACCACAGCATTACCTCCGGCACATCGCACAAACCTCGGTAAATCAGAAAAAAGTCAATATTTTCGAATTAGTTAACAAAACTACAAACAGAATATTTGTGGCTTGAAAATGCCTTTTCTGTAAACACATGCATTTTAATATCAGAAGGGGTTTCATAGATATTATGGTAATTTTAATAGCTGAGATCATGAATAAATAGGACGAAACGACCAGTACTTCCAGGTTTTTCATAGTGTTCTAGCTTCAACTGACTCATGATCTCAACTAATAAAATTACATAAATTTCAGTTTACTATAAGCTTAAGTATAATATTTCATCCTTATAAACTTGTACCAAGATCAAAGGTAATCTATCGGTGGCATGTGATTTTATTTTGCACTGACAAATGATAATATTTAAAATATTTGTATAACTATTTGTCCATACAAAATCTCGTCTTATGGGATGTTGTCATGGAAACAAGCATCATAATGTTTATCAATTTATTTATTTTCTTACTTTTGAAAACAATAAAGCTTATTTCAAGTTCATTTCACTTGATTTTTCTTGTTTCTTCAATAAAACAAAATAGCGTTAGCTGAAAAGCATGAATGTAATCAAAATACATGTTACTCTGTATTATCAGGTTAGTTTGTGTTGTTGTTTTTTCTTCAGGGTTTGTGTTTGATACAAATGCACGCACAATTCACTATTATTCAATAATCATATATGCACCATATTGCTTTGATTATACAGCACATCATATGACTATCCTAATAATGATAGTTTTTCTCTCACTTAATTATCATTTACACTGTCATCATGACTGATAGCACGTAATGTATATTTTTAAACTATTGGTTTTCAGTATATTCGTTTTGTCAATTCGTGTGCCTTTTACATTTCTTTTCAACTAATCATGTATTTTGTTCTTTAGTATAAAATTTACATAAATTTGGTGATGAACAAGGTTATGTTTTTTAGTTCATAGTACTGATAGGATTATAACATTTATCATTATTGTTAACGCTTTTCATTCTAACAGTGGATAATATTGTTTTACGTAAAAACACGTTCGAATTACATTGAAAGCTAAATCTTGGGTTTCATACTATGATGCTACATCAGATAGAGAAAATGTTCTGTTATTAAAACTTACATAAACGTTATTTAGATTATATGTGATCTTTGTTTTTCTATTTGTATATCTAAAATGAACTGCCAGAAGAAAAAGAAACATCTTTATTGATAATGTACACGCGTCATTTGGTTAGATTGAAAATGACGTAGAGCAGTTGTTAAAAGTTTTTTTGAAAAGAGTTCATAACCAAATGAGTATGAATACACTTTAAGAGAGATAAGTAAGAAGCATGTGTATAAAATTGGTTTGCACTGGATAGACGGAAGATGGATAATAGTAGAATACGAGATATACATTTCGCACCTTCTGGGACTTAACATTTGAATGCACTTGCATTCCCGTGTTAATTTTCTCACCGAGACTCGAGCCTGGTGTCTTTCTCTACAAACGCCCAACGCGCTATTGAATGAGCTACTAAGTTCGGATAGTCACTAGTTTTCTCATTAAGCATGGATTTTAACATAACTTGTGATAGCTTCAATTATCCCGTTGCCAATATTATTGACTAAATTTTTGATTAGCTTTGTGTAATAATGCGGGCACATCCGTTTTAGGAGTTTAAAATAACAGAAAACGCTCGTCCTTGGTTCCACTAGTAACCACAGTTTAGCTGTTCAATAAAACTCGTGATAATATCGGTATATATCGAGCAAATTCCTGAAGGATACACATATATCAGTAAAGATTATTCGATATTCTGTCATGAATATCAATAACAGAGGATGTCGTCGGATACAATTAATAACCTTCAAGACTACATATTTGGGTTTAAAATTTCCAAAAGCATAAACATATTTCAAAACGTTACTTCCGAGTAAGGAAATGAAATAAGATATTGTATAACTAAATAGAAAACATGGAAGCATGAGTGAAAACAGTATTTATTTCAATAAACTAGTTATATTCGAATTTTTGTTTTTGATAATGATAACTACAGAAAACAATAATACATTTGAACACTTAAATGAAGTTAGAAGATGTTAACTTATTCACTTTGTAGTAAATCATATAGTAATTTACTATTAAAAAAGTATATTATAGTCGGCGTTTTTTACCTATTCAAGTACACAATCTTCCGTTCATCACTGAATAAATCATATTCATTATATTAGGTGAAATATAACTGAATTTAATGTTTAGGCGTTTTTTTTGTTTCTTTTCATGAGGATGTTTCTGTTTTCTCGTTATGACATCCATTTTTACAGGGATTATTTCGTTATTTGACAAACGAAGACGGTTCATCCACACTAGATTTATGTATATATTCTAACTAAATAAAGAAACGTAATAACAAGAACAAGATGAAAAACAAACAAACAAACACTGTAATAGAACTTGAGGTAAATAAATTAGATCATAAGTATGTTGAAAATAACAGTCAATTACTATGATAAATTAAATAATAATATACTTCTATCTATCTAACTGTTTCTCATATAAAAACATATTTAAAGTGAATTCTTCGTTTCGAGTTATTATTATTGTTATGATTATTTTTATTACCGCTTACAATTTATTAACTTCTCTTTCTATCTCTCTCTCTCTCTCTTGCCACTTATATATTCTTCCAGTTCACTGACTGATTAGTTACTTACAAAGCATTGTACTGGTTATCAAGGGTTGTAATAAGTTTATATTCAAATACAAATTGAACTAATGGTTTGGTACATAATTTCAAACACTTTGTAAATAGTGTTATTTTTTAGAAATTGGTATGAGTCAGAAAACTTAGAAGGATTGAACAGATATGTCACTATTATCCAATATTTACTTAAAGTCCTCAAACACAGTAGAATTTACAATAATATGTCATCTATTAATTTACTCAGTATCCAAACATTTAGGCTTTTATGGGTAAGTAAACTTCGTAGTTCAACGGCAAGTCACCTGCTGGACACGAGGATTGATGATGATCTAACTAACGAGGCAAAAGTGAATGATAAACAGTCAGTTTTATTTTATTAGGCTGCACGGAAAACACAGTAGTTAGAATGCTTGTATTTGACCATAATATTCATAGTGAGCCAGTATTTAAGCTTCAACTGCCTTAGCAATTTAAATGACTTAAACATTTTGATTCTATCTTTTTCTTTTCAGTTAGTTGAAATCATGATCTAGGTTCGTAAATGTGGATTACTGAGTAATGCTATGCTATGACGAAGTAGTTGTTCAAAGTTTTCTGGTTTTCAGTGGTGGTCTAGCTAAGATCAGTTCATGATATGAACTATTACTTAAAAAATTATTATTCTACATATGCATATATACTTTCTAAATGTTTTCTAGGCAGAGAATTCAACCCTTTAAATCATTTAACATAGGAATAACTGGTAACTTTTGTGTATATGAAATATGTAATGAATTTGCATCGTACAATAATTTCACTGATAAACTTGCTAAACATCCTATCATCCTATTGTTTAGGTCACATAAATAAAATTACTATTGATATTATTTAGTAGACTTTCACCACATTAGTTTGAATATTTAAACAGTATAGTCCACATTGGACAATGATATTAAAGGAAATGTCTGTTTAAATGTTGACAAGATAAATTCTGTAAACCTGTTTTGTATTAGTTTGTGACTGTAGTTTTTCAACTTAAGTCAGTTAGTTCAATTCATACAAAATATGAACAAAACCACCTATCTCAAAAACAGTTATTTATCTTGAATACCATTAGAACATCAATTGCGGTTGCATAGTAAAAGTAATGATAAGTTTCTTACAAATTGTAGATTTACTGTATGCTTGAGCACAGTATTATTGGATTTTAAAGTATATATATATATATATATATCTTTGTGATTGTACAGCTTGGAAAATGAATTCGTCGTAAAGAGAACTCTTCATTGAACTAATCTTTCCTATTTAATGTCTTCATGGATATATTCCGTATACGGATACAAATTTAAGCAAATATCTAATCATCTGAATTTACTTTCCAGTACTTTATTTTCTTTTATTTTTTCTTGTGCGAAATGATTTAACTATGGCAACTTTAAATTAAAACCACAAAAGAAAATACCATTTTTCGTTGTCGTTGGTGGTGGTGGTAGCGGTGGTGTTAATCATTTTTTAAGTTCAATATAAAAATTATACAGTTCCACTTGAACTTGAATATAATTCTCATTTCAATGAATTACCTCTTGTCATTGACATTGTTTTCTAACTTCTTTTAAAAATGAAAAAAAAGATCATTTGACTGTAATTTGTGTTTGAAAAAAGAAGAGAAAAGAAAAGAAAGAAAACCCCCAGTTTATTTTAAAAAAAAGGAAGACAAATCTAAGATTAAATTGATACTTGAAAAAATTAAGAAGTTGATGAAAATGGTTCAATTTTAATGATCATTGTTTATTATTCATGAATGGATATTGTGGAAAAAACAATGTCACTTATATAAATTTAAATAAGATTATTTAATTATATCATTATATAGAATTAGTTGAGTGTACTATCATTATGATAGAGCAAACCAGATTAGTTTAATTGAAAATATGATTTAGAAAATTTAAAAGTATTTAAATCATTATAAATCAAATATCTTTATACATAATGACTTCTGTATTCAGATGGTGGGGAAGATTTGTATCTCAGGTGGATGATTTTGATGGAGGTTTGTTCCCTGTGCTGGATGGTTTGGTTGTGGAGCTTTCATCGTTCTTCTGAACGACATTATCAGCACAAACTTCAGATAGAAGTGAAGTGTTTGCATTTCTTCATATGCGTTTCACAGCTTGTTCTGTACACCTCGATGTTGTGTACAAATATAGGAACAAAAGTCAAACCAATAGGAGACACAACCAAAGAAAGGAGTAAACAATGACAAATTTAAGGTCAATAAGAACCAGTCAACGACGAGGTGTGCAGAACAAGCTGTGAAACGCATATGGAGAAATTCAAACACTTCACTTCTATTTGAAGTTTGTGCTGATGATGTCGTTCAGAAGAACGATGAAAGCTCCACAACCAAACCATCCAGCTCAAAGAACAAAAATCCATCAAAATGACTTTTATGTACTAGGCATTCAATTTCTATCAAAATGTTTGTTCAATTATTGGCAAATAATCGTATTAACTCGTTATAAGTGTCTAATTGTAAAATGTTTCCGTGATCAACTGGCTTTAAAAACATAATTCTAATAAATAAATAAAAAATTTTTTTAATCCATCAAGTATGTTTATTATTACGGTTAAACCATTACTTATTGTTACATGAAATAACTCACTTTAGATTATAATCTTATAGTGTCTGAAAGAGATAAACTGAATGCCTTTGATTCGAATTCCAGTCAAGTTAGATAGAATCATTAGTGAACATCTCTGAACAGTATGCATGTATTTCATTTCTTTAGGATTATTCTACACACCATATTGAACGTAACCAGAATATTATGGAATATAGTTATATAAAAAGAACATTGTGATTTGTTTATTTAAAAAAATAGGCTTTCTTACACGGTGCATCATCCAAGATTATCTATTCGCCATAGAAAAGTGATTATAG